TTCACATTTTGCCTTTTTTTTTTTTTTTTTTTTTCCGTAACATATGTACATTTTTTTTTTTTTTTTTTTTTTTTTTTTTTTTTTTGATTTTTCCGAGCGTGGTTGTTACGCATGTTGCTGAGCGTTGGCCTTTTTTTTCATGTTTTACCATTTTTTTCTTTCCCATTTTCCGCTTTATCATTTTCCGTTGTACCGTTTTCCATTTTACCGTTTTTCCCCCTTGAACAGTGCAACTTGAAGGAGCATGTCCGGGGGATTTTCTGCAAAGGAGTCGACCAGGGGAAGCAGCAACAAACACAAACGTGAGAAAAAAATATAAATAATTCAATGCTTAATTAACCCCCTCCCGCCCGTGGGATGTTGTTCTCTCCCTTTTCCGATCAAACAAACCCTCGCCGCTACTGATTGGCGCGATGCCCACGATATGTCTGCCCACGCAGCAAAAACGAAAAAGGGAGTCACATATAATATTAAACAACGTGATATAAACAGGTTTAAAGCGAGGGGAAAAAAAAAAAAAAAAAAAACAGCAAATTACCACTGACATATGCTGAGGATGGTATTATGGTCTTCCCCACTTTTGAGTACCCGCAAGAAGTAAAACAATTTTAATCAAACGTCTTAAACATTTCCTCGAAACGGTCGCTTCTCATCTTCATTGTGTTGTAGGAGTTTCGCATTGTAAAGAAGGGGGGCGACCAAAAAAAATAGCTTTCGCTTTCGTGACAAAAGGACACACATATATATATGACTCATAACGGTGAAAGCACACGGAGAAGAGGCAACATATAAAGAACGTACCGATACACAATTAGTGTAGAGCTAAAGGGGAACGTGATCACCCATTTCAATATAACGCACAAATGGATAAAAAAAAAAAAAAAAAATTTTCCTTCCAAGGGTACTTCAAAAAATCGCCATCGTCCATCAGCAATGAGGACACGGACAATCAAAATGACCACGTGGATGGCGACCACACGATTGAGAGGAACGAATCGGAGGTAGAATTCAGCAGCAGCCATGTAAGGACGCAGTTTTGTAAAAATCCCTTGGGGTTGGTGGCTTATTACCGCTGCACAGAGGGGAAGCATACCACTTTGGAGGATTCTTCCGGGTGCCACAGGCCTGCGTCTATCCGCAACCACCGGGAAGAAGGTGCAGGTATGAAGCCTTCCTGAGGCGTCCACGTAGTGCATGCGTGTGTACGCGTGTACGTGCGTGCGTGTTTGTTCGTTTGTATGAGTCGGTACGCCTTTTTATGTGAGCTTATTCATGTTGTCCCCCTTCATGTCGCCGCTAAACTCGTGGAACCCCCCCCACTTGCAGACTCCCCGTGGATGTTCAAGCTCAAAAACAAGGAGTTAGTCGACCTGGAAAACAAGAGGGGAGAAAAGGCCAAGGCAAACTACTGTCTGAAGCTAAGTGGAAAATCAAAGTGCTACCTCAAAGTGGAGTCAGACAACTGTTTAGAACTCCTAGGAGGAAACTACTGCACCAATGAAAGAGCCATAAAAATAAAAAAAGAAATTTCAAAAAAATTATGCAACGAAAACAATGAAGGATTTACCTTCGAAATGTGGATTGGAATAAAAGAAGACAAACTTATTATGGAAGAAGAGGAGAAAACAAAAAAAAAAAAAAAAAAAAAAAAAAAAAAAAAAAAAAAAAAAAAATATATACATTTGTTTAATACAAAAAGGGAAAGAAGAAAAGTACCAATGGAGTGTACATCTAGTGATAGAAAATGAAGAATGTTATTTCCTTATCGATTTTAAGAATGAGAAATTCCGATTTGATTCTTTTCCACTGGCACATTTAAAAACAAAAAAAATAAATGACTACTATTGGACCCACGTTTCTATTATCTTTAACCTAACCATAGACCTCATTTATGTGATTCTAACTGGAGAGAGTAATTACTTTTTACGTACGTGTAAAAATAAGTACGCCATTTTTTATAGCAGTGTGTTTTATCCTACTAACTTTTTTATTGACACTCCATTGACCTTGCCTCTTTACCTGGGGGCCAAACCGTACACTGAGTTTGGAGACTCGGATGGGAGTGATGACATGGAGGAAGAGGAAAATATTTTCACAAGAGAAACGAAGAGCGAAAAGAGGAGATCTTCTAAGAGTAACAAGAGTCATAAAGGGAATAGCGAATTTATATCCTTCCTCGTAACTGAAATAAGGTTGTTTGCTTTAAGTAGGTCAGCCGATTTGGTAGTTAAAGAAAGCAAAGCGGTGTTAGACTGTGCTTGGCTTGATGGTACCAGTGATAAATCTACAACCGGCAGGGCAGAGCAGCAGGAGGAGGCACTAAATGGATTCAAGCAACATAGCGGTCGCGGTGGCCGAAGTAGCCTACGAGATGAGGAAGATGCAAACAGCACAAAGAAGCATGCCGGGAAGGGAAAGAGTGATAACCAATGGGGCAAACTGAGCAGCGATGACGGAGGAGGTGAATATGCCGCCTTGTCTAGTGGGGTCCGGGGGAAAGGCGCCGCAGGAGAAGGGGACGACATAAAGAACAGGTGGAATGAATTCAACAACGAGATTGAGAAGATGAGGGAGAAGTTCCACAGATTTAGCGACGAGATGAAGGGGGGCAGCGATGGGAGAAGCGCCCACGGCAAAGATGTTAGCAATGCGAATGGTGCCAGCACCCCCTCGCTGCGCCCGCGCAGTGGGCACACCTCACAGGAGGACTTCTTCAAATTCGAATCGGAAGAAGAGCAGAACGATTGTGCAAAGGACGATTTTTTTTTCAACCTGGACAAGAAAAACACCCAAAAGGGGAATGCCCCCACCAGTGAGGACATATTTGCAAAAAAAAAAAAAAGTGATATGAACAAGGAAAACAAAGACAAGTCCCATTCAAATAAATCTGCTCAGTTAAACACAACAGGGGGGAAGGACTATTCTGCATTTTATTTTAACTTCTCTGATGACAGTGCGGAGAAGAGGGAGGAGGAGGAGAAGGAGAAGGAAGCCCAATTGAATGCTAACAAGTTAGATGCACCAGAAGAAAGTGACGAGGAGGATCAAACAGGACAGGTGAACAAACCCTCCTTAGAAGGAGAAGAAACTCCATCAGGAAAAAAAAAACATACCCATTCTGTTGATAAGAAAAATGCCCAAAATGGAGGAAAGAGCCCTACGAAAAAGTACCTGAACAGTAATGTGATGGGGAAAAATGGAAATGAACCGGGAGAAGCTAGCGATTATAAAGAGGAAGCAGATGTGAACATACTGCTGAACGAACTAAAGGATAAATTTGAAAAAGAATTTATGACCATAATGGTAGATAAACTGGGGCACAAGTTGGATCTGAACAAAAAAGACAAGGAAAAATTATTTTCAAATTTTAAATTAAATGCAAGTAAAGAAAAGGAGGAAGTTGATTCAGGGTGCATTAGGGAAAAGTATGTTGCATTACAAAAGGTAAAAGAGGACCGACAAAAAAATAAAGTACATGAAGAAATAAAAGAGGAGTTAAAAAAGGTCAAGGAGCAATCCATTGTGGAAAAAAATTTAAATTGTTACATTAAGGATAATCAGTTATTGAATGAATATTATATAAAGAAGTACGCTTATGGTGGAGAGCAGATTGGAGACAACGAGAATGGAGAAAGCTTTCCTCACGACACATGGGCGTATGAAAAGAAAATGATGGGAAGGGGTGCAACGGGTGCAATGAGTAACTCCAATTCGGTTAGGGAAGAATCGCACACCTCCGACAGAAGTCACTCCATTGTGAATTTGCAATATCAGGACGGAAGCCACGTCTTCGCAGAGGGGGGGGAGGAGGAGCAGGAGCAGGAGGACGGAAGCAGATCCAGCAGCAGTGACGAGCTAACTGAACAAATGGGCGCAAACAGAAATGCGTACTGGCACACAGGGGAAGGGGATCATCACCCCAAAGAACGCATCGAGCAGGAGGAGAAAAAGTCTGACATCAGCGACTTCACCTTTATGAAAAGCAGCAGTGGGCGTGGTGGTGATGGTGGTGCCATGCTCGGTAGTAACGACCCTACCCGCCCTCCACTACTAACACCACCGGAAGAGCTGCGAATGGTCCCTTCGAACGACACAGACTTGTTACTTGAGGAAGGAGAAAACGAAAAGAAAAGCATCTCGAGCCTCCTTCTGAGCGAAGAACAATCAAATGAAGGTGAAAATAAAATTAACCAAGCAATAAAAACAGGAAAATATTTTTACCAATTTATATGTCCACTGACCCCCTATGAATTATTTCTCTTAACGAGGTTTCACAAAAAAGGAATAAATGAAGAGCTTAAGGAATTCAGAAATAAAAAGTACCTGTCGTGTGAAAAGCAAGTCATGCCAACAGCAGCAATTTGTAGAACCCCCCTCAACGTGGCCTACATCAAATACAAAATAAAGATTATGAAGTCCATGTTGAAGAGTAGCCGAAGGTATATTCACGAGAAAAAATTCAAAAAGGGGCTAAAGGTTTGTATAAAAAATGGAGAGTACATTAAAAATTTTGTTAGCAGTTATTGTGTATTGAAAAGGAAAGGGGTGAATGGAAACTCCTCCTCCACTCCTCCCTCGATGAACACATCCCAAGCAGATGAAAACCCATACCAGTATTCTGATTTGTATTTGAATGTGGACAATGCATATATCACCATGGACGAGTTAAAAAATATTTTAAAGGCAAACGTGAGAAATATAATTATATGTAAACTGTTTATTTTGATGAAGGAATATAAAAAGTACAAGTACATTGAAAATTCTTCTCTCATTTTAGCTCTGCAGTCTGTCCTGTGCCGAATTGTAACAAGTTATACCCTGTTAAGAAAAATTTTAATCAAATTCATCTTGTACCTTTTTCTAAGGGGTTGTCTGAGTTGTGTAGAATCCATGTGTAACTTTCTCTTCCTCATGTACCCCAAAGAACGAAACCACCCGCTTGTTGCAAAAGTTTATGCCCTCTGCAAGAACTCCTTTTTAATGTACTCCACCTGTTACAAGAGCAACAAGTACGCCATGATTAATAATTACGATTTGAACTTTGAGCAGTGTGTGGAATCTTTTTCACCAGAGTGGGGCTACTACATCTACACGACTAGCAATTTCAACATCTTCTGCTCCAGTGTAAAGTTTAATGGGTTCTTGAAAAGGGGCACGGACTTCTCCGCCGTCGAGGAGAACCAGCAGCATGAGCATGGACCGCAGCAGCAGGAGGTGAAGGCCATATGCGGCCTCGATGTGGGTGAACCGCTCGACGGCGCACTGTCCCATGTAGACGCAGCGCCCAGCGGAGAACCCACCAACCTGCCCGAGGAAGAACTCCCGATTGAACCCACAAACGAAGGTCACCTCGTCACAGTCGATGTAGGCACAGATGTAGAAAGTAAAAACAAAAAAGGGTCCATGAAAAACGATTTGTACACATACCTCACCAATTATGAAAAAAAAAAAAGGAGTTACTACATCATTGATGATAACATGAAGCGAATCGAATTTACCAGAAAAGAAACGAATCACAACTTGGAAACTTTTCTGCAGATGGAAAACCCAAATGGTAATTCAACAGAACAGACCAAGAAGGAACAGTTAGATCGACTGATGAGACAAGTGAATCGTGACGTTTGTTTAAATTCTTCTGGCTCCTGCACAAATGCTAATTTTTTGGGGCATTGTCCCCACTGTAAGCATGCCTTTAACTTTTTCACGCGGTCGTGCAAGGTGTGCCAGCGGTACGTGCACGTGTGCTACTACCTGCTCATTCACTGTACCTACAAGTACCACTGCGAGTTGTGTGACGCCACTTACTCGGAGAAGGTAAGCCCCACCATGCCCACGTACGGACGCGTACACACACGTACAAACGTTTACAAGCTCGTACAAGCACGCAGCAACACGTAGCAACACGTAGAGAGACACTTGTGTGCACCCCCCTCATTGACCTCCCTTTTTTTTTTCCCCTCCCCTCCCTGCAGTGCCTGGAAAAGTTCTCAAAGGGATTCACCTGCTTCTACTGCGGACTGTTTTTCATCCGGAAGTGAATCAAAGTCAACCCTGTGGGAGGAACAACCCCCCACTAACCAGATTTGTCCCCATCTTGGGCTCTTTCAATGTTCATTAATTCGCCCCTCCCCCATGTTCTTTCTATTTTTTCGTGTCCCTTGTGAGGAGCGAAACATTTGTCACGTGCAGTGAGCTTTCTTCTGTAGACTCCCGTGTGCATTTCTTGTTCTTTTTTTTTTTTTTTAATTAAGAAATTTTTAACGAGTTTTTTTTTTTTTTTTTTTTTTTTTTTTTTTTTTTTTTAATTAAAAAATTTTTAACGAGTTTTTTTTTTTTTTTTTTTTTTTCTTTTCTTCTTCTAATGCATCCCTGACAAACACACGGAAAAAACAAACAAAGCGGACAAAAAAAGGAGAAAAAAAAAAAAAAAAGACCAACCGAACAGACAACGAACATATGAATTTAAAATCTTATATCCTAAAAACTGTCACCTATATAGAGAAAAGCACATATGGTGAAAATTTAATTTTACAAAAAAAAAAAAAAAAAAAAAAAAAAAATTCCAAAACCGCGTCACGTAAAAATAGACTTCTCATATTTTAAATATGAAGCACTATTTGCACGTGGGGAAAAGGAGGGATGCGACGGGTGTGTGTAGGGGGTCTCCTCCGCGGGGGCACAGGTGCACGACACAGCGCAGCATGACGCACATGCTAGTCTGCACACCCGCACGGACACAACGCCTCCAGACTTCAGAACAGGCTTGAAAAAAAAAAAAATTGGAATGCCTTTTTCTCCAGTAAAAACATGCACATATCACGCACATGAGGCACATTTCGGTCGGCGTGGGGAAAGAGAAAGGCACGTGCACAAAAAGGGGCAAAGCGGGGGACAATTAAAAAAAAAAAAATACACACATACAAGGCAGCAACACAACGTAGCAACACAACGTAGCAACACAACGTAGCGACACAACGTAGCGACACAACGTAGTGACACAAGGCAGCGGCACGACGCAGACGGCTGCAACACGCCATCCCTGATGGCATGACGTTAAACGGACGGCGGAACGGAAAACGGGCAAAAGGACAAATGTACAGAGAGGCACGGAAAAACTTCACAAAACGGTCCGGAAATTATTTCCCGAGCTATCAGCTCAAGTTAAATGAACGCTCTTCTCCATCATTAAAACGTCGTCCCTCTTGTGCATGGTTAAGCGGAATTTAAATTGAAAAGGGTGAATGTATAGGCTTTTATATATGTATATGTGTGTGTGTGTGTGTGTGTGTGGAGGTGGGGGTTGGGGGCATCTTTTGTGTGCTCGTGTGGTCACGAGTGTCTTATCGGCTTGCCCCCCCTTCCTCGCGCAGATCCTCTGCTTCTACTTCTTCCACTTCTTCTACTGATTCCATCTCAACTTCCACCATTGCTGCTTCTTTCCTTCCTCATATCATATTCTCATGTGCCACACTGACTCTCCAGCGCACTCCGTCCCCTGCGGGTCGATTCGCAACGCAGTGGAAGGGACACATCCAGCACAATATGTTGTTTCCGAACACCTGTAGAAGAGGAAAGGGGGGCCGGAGGGAGGAAGGCGTGTAGGTGAGTCGGCCCGAGCGTCAAGTGTGAACTAAAATGGCGCAAAAAGTGCGCGATAAATGCGAAGTAAACGCACACAACGCGCTGCGCGCAAACCTACCTGCTTGGCGTTGTCCTCGCATCCCACATTGTACATGTTGTAGTCCTGATTGTATATATCCATATTTTCAATTGTGGTGGAATTTCTGGAAATCAATTTCAAATGAAATTTGGTGAACGGCACTAAAGCGAAAATTAAAACGAATGTTAAGAATAACACAATAGAAGCATATGTATACTCCAGAGCCACAAAGGAAGACTTGTCGTGAAAACCATCGTCTATATATGCGTTTGCATTGTCAATGAAAATGTAATGGAACGTCTGGACTGCTACTATGAATAGACAAATTAAGCCATAAAATAAAAGCTGTATAAAAAATCTTCGATTGAAAAAACCCACACAGTTGTTAATCCATGGACAGTGGTGGTCCATGTTCAGTACACATCTGTTACACGCTGAGCAGTGGTGTGTGCGGTCGGGTTTCCACACGTTACAGATTTTGCAATATCGCCTTCTCTTCACGTCGTCGCCAATGTAGAAGCCCCAGTTGCGCGGGACTTTCCCGGGGTCCGTCGAGGCGCACTGCACAGAGGTGAAGGCATAAGTATGATTGGAAGCGGGGGCAATCATAAAGTAAACAAAAGTATTGGGAAGAAATAGGAAAAACAACGAAATGATAAGCCGAACAACATGTAAATGTGTGTGTAGGAAGGGGGAAGAAAAAAACGCGGCAACTAGCTGTGATGCCGAAATGCATGCACACACAGATCGAAGAAAAAAAAAAAAAAAAATTAAAATGGTGAAAAGGGTGAAAAACTTCAAAATTTTATGAACAGTTCAGAAAAAAAAAAAATGCACACACACACAACTGCAAGCCTTATCGCAGCCGCCTAACCGCACAATAGAACAATCACACTCACGCTCTACATGGGCTGTTTCAACGCGCCAACTGACTCTCTCTCTTGTTATAGAATTTTACTTTTATAAAACTTAGCAGAAACAAAAAAAAAAAGACGTGGAACAAGGCGGCTATTGTGAAGGAGCCACTCCTGTACGGGATGAACCAAGACCTCAGGACGATTCCCGTGTACCCTATGTATATGAAGGCTGCAAAGGGTGGAAAAAAATAGGGGAAAAAATAATAAAATATAAATAAATAAAATAACATCGAGGAGGCGATACGGGTACACACAACAACGGGGCGACGACAAGCGATCAATATAACGCCGCTACACCGCTATACCGACACAGTGCCGCCTGCATGCTGGCGCGTTCTTACTTAGTATGAAGAAGACGATAAATATGAATATGGAACCACCTTTCTTTTTTTCTGTTTGTCCTTGCGAAGGCTGCATGTATTTAGGTCTCATTTTTTATGGGGATAGCTTTCTCTTCCAGATGTGTACATTTAAGCATTTGCTTGCACAGAGGTACATGTACGTGAGCAAAAATACATGTGCATGTGCCTCTTCACAGACAGGGCGCATCAAACTGTGTGCTGGTGTTTTTCTCTCCTGTGCGAATTATCACTCGCGCGCGGCTGTCCTCATTTGATGTCGTCTTTAGGTGAAAATGTGTTAATCCTTCATTGCAAGCTGTACACACGCATACAAGTGTCTTCATGCGCACACGGACAAAACCTATGACATGCACATGTACTTGCACGCATAAGTACAAGCATATACATATATATATCTGTACTCCGTTATTTTGCAAAAATCAATGTTAGTTTTTACATTGTCGTGTTTTATAGTTCTACAAAAAAAAAAAAAAAAAAAATTGCACTTTCCTAATTTTTTATTTTTTTTTTTTTTTTTTTTTTTGTTA